AGTTAAAAAGCACCAAGATCTAAAACAGTGGATGGTAGAAATGTGGCTTCAGACTGGATAAACAGTCAATGTATGACAGCTTCTGGCAGACAACCACAAAAATGATTTTACACAAATTAGGCAGTTTATTAATAAATAAAATAAAACTCAGAACAGGTGTGTGTCTGAATTGTATTCTTTAAATACAACAAAACCACTCAAAATGCACCCATTTCGATCCCGTCTCTATTCAATAAAATCTAAAAAAAACAACAAAAAAACGCTTAAGGTGCATTAATACATTTTTGGCGGGGAAAGAAATGATTAAATTACTTATTAAATAGAAAAATACAATCGACTGCTCTGCTCTGGAGAATCTGAGACAGGCTTATACCTTATATATGCTTTGACCGAAATGGGATCTTTGAGATCTGCCGTTCTTCCAGGGGGCTTGCAAATAACTATAAAAATAACTAACAAATAATTATTATTGTGAACTCTGTGCAACTTTGGCCAAATCATAGCAAAACATTTATCACCAAACTATCGATTTTATTCTCACTCGAACAAGTTGCCTTCGATTTGTTCAAATTCAAATTTTTTTTAAATTTTTACTTTCTTCTACAATCTAATTGCCAAAAAATGCCTAAAAACATTCCAACTTTTTTTTTAGAAAAGCTGCAACTATCACAAAAAAAAAATCCAGTGAAATCCTGGAGCGACTGATCAAAGAATATTTAAATTAAATATTCTTTAACAAGTTAATAATTTCAAATATATATTGTCAACTGATTCTAGTTGACATTGCTAAGAGCTGCTTCTTCTCTTACTCTGTGCTGCTTGCACAGTATTGGAAATAATAGCGCCCCCTGCTGGTTAAACTCTGCAGTGACACCAATTTTCAAATGAACATATATTAGATAAATATACCGATATGCTACCGAAACGATCTGTTGGGCTCTGTTTTTTTAAACTAGGCTTCCATTAACAACCGTTGTTCGTGCCGCTCTGTATTTTCTTCGTGGTAAATTACATACATTTTTCTAAACTGCTCACAACTCTTATGGACCCTGGAATCCGGGTCTGCTAGTGGACTTCAGTTCTTTATAGGGTTTTCGATTCCATTAACCATCATGTTGAGGCTCTTTTCTAAGATTCCTAACTTTATACCATCAGTAGCCTCTTTTATCTTTACATATTTTACTTCAGTGGCACCCCTGTTACCATCAACAGCAGCCACTTCAGGTTTTTGGGTTCCCGACTCTGTTCCCGACTCTGTCTTCTCTCTTCAGGGGAAATACAATCTATTTTCCCAGTTCTCTTCCCCTCCTCAGTCCCCCTCCCACACACAGTCGCACTCTCTCAGCTGGTTTCTCTGGCGCATCGTCGTGATGACGGTGATCCTGTTCTCGGAGAGCTCCCGGAGCTGGTTGATCAGCTCCTGCACGCAAGGGCTGGGCCAGGGGTGGCCGTTCAGGTAGTCTCTCAGGATGAACGAGCGCTCCACCAGCAGCTCCAGCTGCACCAGGTGTCGCAGCCGGTGGAGGCTCAGCAGGTCTTTCTCCGGTTCTCTACGGAAAAACCTGAGAGACAAAGAGAGGAGAGGAGCGATGACACATTTAAAACATTCAGAAACTCTGACATTCACTTTCAGGGAACTTCATCAGACATATTTTACACAGCAGAAGTTATAAGATAAGACTCGCCATTTCCTGTAGTAAACCCGGAAGACTGAACCACATTCACATCAAATCTGACAAAACCATGATTAATGTGTGCTGTTTTTAATCTTGTATGTTGTGTTAACCCACATTGTTCTTATCTGCACAACCAGAAACCGTTCATGCTCACACTGTCACCAAAAAGGACACGCGGACAGTAAGAGTGGTTTTCCTGCGCGGCTCACCGTATCCTGAGCGTCCGGAGCTGAGGAAACAGCATGGGGATCCGTCTGCAGAGGCTCCCGCTGGAGCGGTTCTGCTCGATGTCGAGGTGCTCGAGCGCCGGGACTTTAGGGGCGATGGAGTCCATGTCTTTCAGAGTGATGGCCACACGCAGCGTCAGCCTGGTCACACTGGACGGGATGGTGGTCGTATAGGTGGCGAGAGAATTACCACCTGGGAAACAGAAGAGATTTATACGCATGTATGATCAACTACGTACCTTAAACTGCCTGAAACAGTCAGTTTTTACATCCATCAGTAAACCAGAAAGTATCTGAGGTGGTTAAATGTATTTTAATCTGAAGAAGAAATGCTTTATGATTGGATTCATTAAAGGAAAAAAACATATTTCCAAAGGGGCCGCTGTCAGCAGCCGGACTCACCGATGATGCTGAGTGTCTCCAGCTGTTGGAGAGGACTCAGCCAGGACTTGAGGCGACACTCGATGCCCTCTCTGATGTACCTGTAGCGGACCGTCAGAGACCTGAGCGAGGTCAGACTCCTCAGTGCGTCCTCTGGCAGGATGGTTTCTGGGTAATCCACCAGCTCCAGAGTGGTGAGCGCCGGGCCGCCGTACCGGGTCGCTCCTACAGGACGGAGGAGGAGAGAGTTATTTTTTACAGAATAAAGACTTTTTAATAAAGAATCCTCTATGAATGATTCATGAAGCATTTACTGAAGTGTTATATTTCACTTATAGATCAGATCATCACAATTTAATAGTTTTTATCAAAGAAAATTAAAATTGTGTTTGCAAAACTGATGATTTCCACTAATAGTGAATCATATGGCAGTAACTGTAACAAAATAACTGATTTTACAGGTTTTTTTCTGGTTGGAAAGAAACATGAAAAACAAAAAGACCTGTTTTATGGTTTCTGTTTTACAAATAAAAACATAAAATTCTGTTATAATAGATTTTTTCTAAAAAACAACAAAAAAAAAGACCAGTTTTCTCTTTTTAAAATAAAACAAATGTAAAACACAACCGCAGCGCGCGGCTCCAGGTCGGGGCTCACCTGGGTGCTCCGGGTCGGGGGGGCTCAGGTAGTCGTCGGGCAGCGGCTCGGGCGGCTCCCCCCTCATCCCCCAGGACAGGTGCTTCAGTTTCTGCAGGTGGAGCAGCAGGTTGTGGAAGACCTCGCGGGGCACCGGCCGCACCGTGTCCAGCCCGTAGCCCTCCCCCTGCTGGTGGAAGAGCAGGTACCGCAGGTTCACCAGGTGCGCGCGGCACGCGTCGATGAACTCCACCGTGCAGGTGAGCCGCACGTTGCACACGCTCAGGTGCGTGAGCCGACCCGCAGCTGCTCGCCTCAGACTCCGGCCCAGCAGGCGGCTCGTCCCAGGTGGCGTTGCGACCCCGAGGTCCCTGAGCTCGGGGAACCGGGTCAGGTTGTCCAGGTACTTCTGCTTGTAGAGCCGCCCGCCGTCCACGACACCCCACGGCGTGAGCCCGGAGGAACTTCACGAGCCGCCGCCACTCTTTGCGCGCAGGTGCCGCACCGCAGCCCGCGTGAGTTTGCGGTGTCGCAGCGTGTCCCAAGAACCCGTAGGTGTACCGGCGGAGGTGCAGCGCCACGGTGTCGGTCCGCCACAGCGACGGGTGGTCCACGAGCTTCTTCAGGTACCGGCAGCAGGTGCGGACGGTGTGCCGGTCCTCCGTGCTCAGGTAGCTGAACACCGGAGACCCAAAGCTCTGGAGGAAGCAAGCTGCCAGCTTCTCCATCCGGTGCACCGGGTAACGGCTGCAGGGTAACGGGCTCAGGGTAACGGGCTGCAGGGTAACGGCTACCCGGTCAACGGCTGCAGGGTAACGTGCAGTACGGTGCAGGGTAACGGCTGCAGGGTAACGGCTACCGGTCAACGGCTACCGGTCAACGGCTGCAGGGTAACGGCTACAGGTCAACGGCTGCAGGGTAACGGTCACACCGGGGGGAGAGTCCGAGCTCCGGTAACTCCCATCGTGAGTTATTAAAGCGGTAAACACCGACAGCAGCGTTGTTGTTCTCAACGGAACCGTTAAAGTGCGACCACCGTCGAGGTAACCGCATCCGTTACAGAGCCGTCGCGCCGTGATGACGTCAATTGTTGTCGAAAAACGTTAGAGATTTATAATCAATACAAACAACAACAAACACAAACAACATGAACTAGATTTTATGTTAATGGTTAATTAATTTAATAGAAAATGATTTTGACTGTTCTCCATGGTGGTTGTTGTTGTTGTTGTTGTTGTTTGTTTGTTTGTTTGTTTTGTTAACATTAACGATCCACTCAATATAATTCTGTATTATTAGTGTTCATAATGCTTCATAATAAATATATCTGAAACTAATTTATCAGGAAATGTAATCATTTTAATGCCGAAATCAATAAATCAATAAATAAATCAATAAATAAATAAATGTTTGGCTATATTTCCATTTTGCATCCGTCCTGAATTTATTTGATCTTTTACTTCTCTTGTCCTGTTTATTTTAACATTTTGAAAATATGAATCTAACACAATTAATAAATAAAAATGGGATGTTTGTTCCTGATAATTGTAATATTTTCTGTGTTTATGTTGAACTTTTCTTCTTAGTAACACAAATATTGTTGTTTGCTTTGATCATAAATCCTCCTACTGTTATTTATTATTATTTTATTATTACTGCTTTCATAGTTTTGTGAAGCACTTTGTAACATCTCTTTTGAAAACTGCTATTTAACTAAAATATATGATTATATTATTATAATATAAAATCAATACTTTCAGGAAAATTCCACATTCACATATTAAACCATTTAAAATTTACCTTCAACTTCCTTTTAGCCTCTTTCTTGTTATATCACTGAAATTGTTCTGCCAGAGCCAACAATGTCTCTATAGCAGCCACTCATTTCACGTTCATTCATTTAACATTCATTTATTTCATGTGTAAACTGTATATAAGTATCTGTAAATGCAGTTTATAGTACTCAATAAAATGTCTTATAGCTGTTTTTTTCTGTACAAATATTGTGACATTTAAAGTCTTCCACCAAAACTGTATCAGCTGTATTTAAAGCAGATTATTTCCTATAGGTGTATATTTAACAGACGTCAAACGGAGTCCATCAGCACCACAAGAATGGGAAACATTTGATTTATATCACATGACACAATCAGCCAATATATTTTTAGATATCAGGATTTATGATTAAAAAAAGAAGCTACAATTTTATTCTTTACATGTTTTTTAACACTCTGTTCTGCGGTCCTTCATTTTATACCTGTAATTATCCTTTTCTAGCACGAAGGAACTGCAAACGTTCATTTTGTTACACAACCTTGTGTTGGAGAACGTCGGCTGCTTTTTTAATGACCTCATTATCTTAAGTGTTGTCAGTATCTTTAACACTGCAGTTAAACCACATTTTAGATGGTGACAGATAAATAACTGTCGAGTGGATTGTGTGTTGAGGCACAGTGAAAGGTTTAGTCTACATCAGTGTAGTTACCATGTTAACTGGACTGAAAACCGCCTTAAAAACTAAAATAAAAGTAATGCAGCGAATCATAAAATGTTAAAAACAGAGTTGATCTAAACACAAACAATCACAGCCGATCAAATATATTTTAATATTTTTCATTTGCTGATGAAAATGGGTACATATAAATTAAAAGAAAAAGTAGCCCCAGTGATTTGGGAGAACATCGAGGACAGGGTTATCTGTCTACAGAGCAGGGGTCAAAGGTCGTCAGGCGGGTTAGTAAAAGGTGAACAATCAGCCTGAACAGGAAGTCTGTAGTCTTCAGTTCACTCCAGGTTTCTTTTTAACTATGTTTCCTCGCACCTTTCAAAATAAAATGTAAGAATTAACAGTTTCACACTTAAACACCTTAAATATGAGTTTTAGAGCTGCTGCAGTTTTTATTCTAATCTAAACTAACTGGCTGCAGCTTTATATTCACCATACAGACCATCAGTTCTTCTCATGTGACTCTCAGAAAGAAAGTGATGTTCACCAAAGTGTCAGATCGCTTTCGCTGTCGACTCAACGTGCTGGAGGTTTAAGGAGTCGCTGTGAATCGAGATCTTCTAGTCTGGAGACCTTTGCTGCTTTTACTTTGCTCTGATCATTTCCTGTCATGTCTAATAAAAAACAAAATTACCCCAAAGTACTAAAAGAAAACTGCTGCGGAGGGTCGACTTAAAAGGGAAAAACTAAATGCTCTCCGTCACCCTGCATAACATAAAATCCTGTCTATTAATGGAGGATGTAGTGTGAGGAAGAGAACACAATCATAGCCCTGCTCGTTCAAACATTCATAGAGTATTTCTATTTACAGGCCTACGCACTTTATTTACACGGCTCGTGAACACACGGGAGACAAACTGGAACAACATATTCATCAGATATTTAACTCTCCATCTGCAGCACGGCGTCAACCGGCTTCCTCTGAGCGCCAGCCGCCGCTTCACCTGAAAGAGTTCGTTTGGAATAAAGTATTTTGATGTTTCGTGAGTCAGAGGCCCAGAAAAACTCGCCGTCCGTTCAGTAGTCATTCGTTCCAAAAGGCAGATACCGGTGTTTGTTTGAGTTCTTTCACTTCACAGAAACCTCCTTCATCTTTGTCAGTTTAGCTCCGCTCCCTTCCCGCTTCCCTCCCCGCTACTGCGACGGCGAGAACGTCAGGATCATCCACCCGATCACGAAGTAGAAGAGGAACACCGGGTACACCACCAGCGCCTTGCGGTTGGGCGGCTGGCTGTCGGCGAGGAAGGCCGTGGAGGCGAAGGTGGACCAGCCGAAGGACGCCGTCACCACCACCAGCCGCACGGCGAAGCTGACCGTCCCCGAGCCGCCGATCAGGACGATCCGGCACACGGCCATGGCCGCCGTCAGAGGCATGATGCAGTAACCCAGCACGCACAGGCTCTGGAAGAAGGAGATGGTGCCGCCCAGCAGCTTGGAGTTGAGGGTGATGATGATGGAGCCGAACCAGATGATGACGAAGACCTGGACGAGAAAGTTAGTGGGGAGATTCATTTCTTCATGTACGCAGCAGACACACTTATAAAGATAAACAACCTTCGTAATTAACTTCAGACTATATATGACCACAGGATGAGTCCGGTGAACTGAAATCAATAACTGACAGTTCAGATGGAGTTTGTTTGTTTTTTCACTGTCAGAGCATGTTTTTAATTTACAGCAGTATTCCCTATGGAAGCCCATTTCTGCCAATATGAGCCGAAAAAAAGATTCTGCAATCGTTATAATGAAAAACATTCTCAAAATAATGATTAAAGGGATAAAACCCCGGAATAAAATAAACCCAGATAAAAGAGTAAACCCGATAAAAGAGTAACCCACGATAAAGAGTAAATCCACGAAAAGATAAACCAGATAAAAGTAATACCCCAGAAAGAGTAAACCCAGAAAAGAGTAAATCCCGACTTAAAGGAGTAAACGCAGATAAAGATAAAGATAAAGCCGATAAAAGAAGCACCAGATAAAGATAAAGATAAACATTCCCCCCGGATAAAGTAAACCCCAATAAAGCATAAAGAGTAAACCCAGATAAAGATCAAATATGAAACCTGAAAGAGTAAACCCGGATACAAGAGTAACCCAGATAAAAATAAAGATAAACCGATAAAGATAAAGAGTAAACCCAGAGAAAAAGTAAACCCAGAAATAAAGAGTAAGACCCCAGATAAAGAGTAAACCCAGAATAAAGATAAAGAGTAAACCCAGATAAAGTAAACCAGATAAAGAAAAGAGTAAACCCAAGAATAAAACGAGTAAACCCGGATAACAAAGAGTAAAACCCAGAATAAAATAAAAGTAAACCAGATAACAGATAAACCCGGAAGATAAACCCGGTAAAGAGTAACCCAGTACCAAGAGTAAACCCAGAAAAGAGAGTAAACCCGTAGCCTCAAGCGAACCTGCGGCCCCCCCTGGTCTCTGGAACATGTCAGCCGCCCCTCCTGCAGCAGCAGCAGCCAGAGTCACGCATAGGCAGCAGCGGCCCCCACAGGCCCAGTCCCGCAGCAGAGCCCCGAGTGCGTTTGGGGTACAGCCAGCCGTGGATGAACTTGTCCCCACGGCCCCGCCAGATCCCCCCAGGATGGTCCCCTTCACCGGCCTCCCCAGCGTGAAACTCGCGTCCCCGCCCTGAGAGCCGACGGCACGAAGTCCCCCCCTCCAAACCTGGCAAATGTCCTCCGAATGGACACCATCCGAGCCAAACCGGCCGAAACGGTTCTGCTGAACCCCCTCCCCGCTGCCGCCATTAACGGGAAGAGCCGAGCGTCACCGGGAGTTCTCAGTAGCCGGAGAGTTTCAGACGAAGACCGACCGCTTTAACGACGGAGCGTCAGAAAACGAGCCCGGGGGGGAGAGCGAGTGAGCGGCTCTGTTAACCGGGAGAGGTCTGTCGTCCGCCCGGTTATCGTTGCTGCTGCCTCCACGTCAGCGCAGTTGTGTTACTTCCCCACGTAAGGCACCACATCGGATGGGCGTTCAGGTATGCAACTGTGAACTCGAAACCAAACGTACGCTAATTCAACACCTTTACGAAAGCGTGGCGATTCACCTGAATTTATTTTTAGGCTGGTTTTCCGGAGTATTTTTCTGTTTTGTTTGTTCCATTACAAGA